CCTCCCCGCCCCTCGATCTCGCCGCCGCCGCCGCCAAAACCCTACGCCCCTCCCGCTGCTGCCTCCGGTAAGCCCCTCCGCACGCCTCTCCCCTACCCCCTGATCCCTACGTGTCTCGATTCGGTTCGGAGCGTGGCGTCTCGCCCCGCGGTTTGATCTAGGGGCGCGGCGGAATGCGGCCAGTCGTGGGGCGGCGCCCGGCGCCCGGCGCGTGGCCGGGTGCCGTGCCCGCCGCTGAATTCGGTCGGCCTGGGCGGTCCCGCGCCACGGGATCGCGCTTTCCGGCGGCCTGGCGTTGTCGGAGGCCGAGGAGCGTCATGGGGGGCGCACGCCCCTCGGGCTTGGCTGATGCCCCGCGTCGGTACTCGTTGTGAATTTCGGACGTGCTTGGATTCCAGGGGTTCCCCTCTGTTCGTCATGTATTGGCGGAGCCATGGAGCTGTTGTGCTGCTGGGCTGTCCTGTTTTATAGGATATAGGAGGAGATAGATAGTTTCCCTGTTTTTTGCTGGCTGAAGATTTGGTGCTAGGTTTTATAGGACCATGGGGGCGTGGAAGCTAGTTTTAAAGCTACTGGTGCAAGCAACTCGTACGGCGAAACAACTTGTCGCGTTCTGTGTTGTAGTAAATATGCTGGCCGCTAGCTTTGTCGTTATGCGTCGGTTGTCGTATTCCGTTAGCCGATTATGATAACCAATCACAATTTAATGTAGCTTGTATGTCAGAAGAAAGGTTACTATACGAAGAGATTGAGGTCAATTGTCGTATTCTGTTAGTTGATTATGATAACCAATCACAATCTAGTGTAGCTAGCTTGTATGTCAGAAGAAACGTTACGATACGAAGAGATTGAGGTCAATTGTCGTATTCCGTTAGTTGATTATGATAACCAATCACAATTTAGTGTAGATTGTATGTCAGAAGGAACGTTACGATACGGAGAGATTGAGGTCAATTGTCGTATTCCGTTAGTTGATTATGATAACCAATCACAATTTAATGTAGCTTGTATGTCAGAATTAACGTTACTATACGAAGAGATTGAGGTCAATTGTCGTATTCCGTTAGTTGATTATGATAACCAATCACAATTTAATGTAGCTTGTATGTCAGGAGAAACGTTACGATACGAAGAGATTGAGGTCAATTGTCATATTCCGTTAGTTGATTATGATAACCAGTCACAATTTAATGTGGCTTGTAAGTCAGAAGAAAGGTTACGATACGAAGAGATTGAGGTCAAACCGAAGTGGCGCCATACTAATTAAGCTTATGTAGCTTGCTTTATATAGCAACGTAATTCTGCAGTACTTGCCATATGGGCAACTTAGTATGCTTTCGCTAGTGGCTTATCGTGGCTCTTAATTGCTGTGACGTCAGCTGTAATATAGACGCTAGTGAATTTATTTTTGTATGTAACGGACGCTTGGGTCAGCCTTTCTGTTTGGAACTTGTAGACTGGGGTAGGTGAACAGATTCTGTCACTTCACGGTTTATCTAGTTCCTACTTTGTGCTCCGGTGTGTGTAAACTATAAATTTATGACTTATTTGCTCTCATAGATAAAATGGAAAAAGGTTATCTTGGACATGCCTAATGAAAAATAAGCAACAATAATAAGGAAGTAATGCAACTGTAAATATGGGTCACTGGAATGAAATTTATTATTATTATTATTATTTGATTTTGAGAGATTTTTGATGAGCTGCATTAGTTTTCATGTTTTTTGACATGCATCCGCTTTTAGAAACATCTGCTTATCTAGAACCACTGCCAGGAAGAGGCACTTAGTTGCAACAGTTGAATGTTTCTACTTTGTTTGAGGGCAAAGCTTCCCTGTTATCCTGAATAGTTGGTAGTATTTTGATTCTTAGAAACCCTATTGGGTCAGCTGAATACTTTCTAAGCGTAACTAATTGAGTTGTGCTTATCCAAGCACAGATTGTGATGCTATTGATCAGCATGTCAAGGTGAGGAGCGCTAATAAATACTGGGCCAAATGCTAGGATTGTAGTATGCTTCTTGGATCTCTATGATCAACTTATGTTCCATTGAAAATCTCAGACTCCACTCATTGTCTACCAGGCATATAGCTATTATTCAGATGACAACTTCTTAAACAATTTTCTGGAGTTTTTGTCTATAAACTATAATGTCTATATATATTTTACTAGAGTGATAATTTTTGTTGAAACTTGGCTGCAGGTAAACAACCTTTCGGCTGTTCGTTTTGGAAATGCCGTCTGCATCCAAATCCAAGGCAAAGGATAGGGCAGCTGCTTTCAAAGCAGCAAAAGAGCAACCTAAGGTGGCTGTCAAGCCAGTGGGGAATGGCACCGGTGCAAGTACTTTTAATAACCTCTCTGGAAAATTTCATCTTTTGGAGCCATCATCCTCTTTGCTGGGTAGCCAGGGTAACGAAAAGTTGAGGAATACAGATGAAATAGACGAGCATTCTCGTAGCTCGCATGGTACAGGGGACTTTGATTGCACCTCAAATAATGGTAGCTGTTCTGGAGAGTCAGAAGATACAAAGGACAAATCAACCAGCACTGCGCCTCGAGTGGACTCTATTCCTGGATGTGATCTTGATAAACGTGAGAAGATCAGACAAAAGAATGAGAAGAAGCATCAAAGGCAGAAGGAGAGGCGCGCCCAGGAATTGCACGAGCGTTGCAAGGGATACCTAATGTCCAGAAAGTTGGAGACACTTGCTCAGAAGCTTGTTGCAATGGGTTTCTCATCAGACCAGGCAACGATGGCCCTTATACATAACGAGGGCTGTCTTGAGGAGTCTGTTGCCTGGCTATGTAATTTTGATGGCAGTGATGAAACGAAGCAGCAAGCTGCAGCAGCTCAACAGTCTGGAGCTAATTTGAAGATTGATATAACTGATGAGCTCGCAAAGATTGTGATCCTGGAGGCGAAATTTAAGTGTACAAAGCAAGAGGTAGAAAGGGCTATTGTTTCTTCTGAGGGTGATCTAGAAAAGGCTGAGGAGGCCTTGAAGACACAGAAGCAAGAATCAGCAACAACCACATCTAAGCCTGAAGTGTCTGGTGATTCAAGTGGCTTGGTTAACAAGCCGCAGGTCATGCTTGCGCAGAACCCAGCAAGGCCTCAAACAAATGGGTTCTCTTCTGTAGGGCCTCAGCAAATGAGGAGAGATGAGAAGGACCCAAACTACAAGCTTTTAGTAAATGGTAGTGGCCCAAAAGAACCTGCAGTTAAAGGGTTTCAACCATTGGCCACAACAGTGAAGTCAGATTTGGTCCGTCAACAATTTTTTCAACCCGAGAAGAGGCGGGTTATTGCCAATTCGGTTCCATCAGCTCCTTATGTGACATCATCTCCGGTGCCTGTTGCAGTCCCACAAATTAAGGCAGAAACACGACATGTGGCAGCCGGCAATGAGATGAAAAGTGCAATGCATAACGGAAGCTTGCGAGACCCGGTAGTTGTAATGCAGCGTCCTCAATCCGCAGCTGCCAAGCAAAGTCTACCATCCACAAGCCATAGTATGTTTGCATCAGAGCCACCTTCAAGGGAATGGTACATGAATGGCGCATCAGGGGTGGATATGATGTTGAATGGTGGTTTAGGGCATGGACTACGTAATATGAGTTTGGAGAATGCTAATTCTGCCAAGCAGCAGTTCATGCATGCAAACCATCAACAAAGTTTTGTTTCCAATCCTGTGGAGCTGGCTGCTAATGGTTGGGGTGGTACATGGGGTCCTGGAGGTGCATCATCTTCCCAGGCTGGGGGGTCGGCACATGGGACGTTCAGAGGAGGAGGATGGAGCTCATCCGAGCCGTCTTCAGCTTTATCTCATGCTGATTGGAGAAGCAATGCGCCAGCACCGTGCGACTACACTTCAATAGATTGGAGCCTCGACACAACATTGTTAAACCCTGCAGCGAAGAGCGAGTGGCTGTCTGACACATGGTCAACCATGTTCATGGGCGGCAGATCCACAAGGCCTGCTGGGGGGAACCTTGGCCTTGGTGGTGCGGGAGGCATGAATGGGTTGCATGAGAGCAGCAGTGGTCTTCCAATGGAGCCTGCTCCATCACCCCGCCCTTATGAGTGGCCTTCTTTCTGCAGGGGAGGATCTTCCTAGTTCCGGAACCCTGTAGGTAAGAAAGAAGTCATTGAATAAGAAAAAAGTAAAAGATGTCATTTGTTTCTGTTCTTGTTTTTGTCTCGTTGGAGTTGGTTGAAAAGAGTTTTACTTCTTGTGTATTGAACCGTGTTTGTGTACCTTTGACTGTTGGCCGAGATAAGTCTTCATTCTATGGAGTCCATGTGCATGCAAATGAAGAAAAAAATTGAAGCTATCTTTGCCGAAATGGACGGACGCTTTCTCTCTTAGTAATGGCCAGCTCTTTTGGGCGGCTTAAAAAATAAGCTGCCTCTCCCCAGCTTAAAGTCATTTTCTAAACTTGTTGAGACTTCTAAACTAGTTATCCCATAACTAGTTCAGAAGCCTCAATGAATAAAGGAGGAGACTTATGGGGAAAGTTGAGGAGGAGGCGGTTTATTTTTTAATCCGCCGAAAGAACTGGCCAGTATGTAGCTTACTCGAGGTTTCCAGTCCAATCCATTATTTGTTTATGAAGGTTGAGAAAGCGGATGCATATATTTTTTGGATCCTGGTAAGTCCTGAATGTTTCATTTTGCTCATGGCAAATCGAACATTTTTTATGGCAACTTTAGTTGATGCGAGAATGGCAAGTTTAGTAGGTAAGCATGGCAATTTGGTCCGTGGTTTGCTTGTTTGCCTGAAAATTGCTTGTCAACTAAAATTGCCTCTTTTGTGTGAATTAAAATTGTCATGAAAAATGTTTGATTTGCCATGAACCAAAGCCTAACCTTTGGGATTTTATCTTTTCCGTAGTATTTTGGATTGCTGGAGATAAAGCTGCGATTAGCCATAACATCTGTGCGATGTGATACTAGTCTAGAACAATCGCTGGATGAGCGACCTGCTCGGCCGAACTTCCTGCGGTGCCCGCCAAAGGGGCTGCCTACCTACCTACGGTGATCGGAAAGTGCGGCGCTCTTCCCTAGCTAAAAGGTCCTTACTCGGGATCGCTTGAGAATAAATGGGCCTACAGGCGAACATTCCGTCTTCTCGAAACGAAGACATTTCCGTCCCTTGTGCCAAAGCTCTGCAACCGCCGAAGTCCAAAGACGTCTGCTTCTCCTGTCAAACCTGATAAGACGACTCGCCGGCCTTGACAAGATCCATCGCCCATTGCCGCTGGGAGAAAATGAACAAAACTGGCCCTTATCTAAAACTTTAATACAAAATGGCCTTAATTTGGAAATATTTCATGAAATGTCTCTCTTTTACATGACGCCCGCGGCTAGGGCGCCATGCTAAAGAGCATGACGCCTCGGGCTAGCATGGCGCCCTAGCCCCGGGCGTCATATAAAAGGTGCCATTTCGTGAAATATTTTTAGATTGGGACCATTTTGTGTTGAAGTTTTAGATAAGGGTCATTTTTGTCCATTTTCACTGCCGCTGGTACATGTGCACGGTGCACCTATAGCCACCGCCTACGAGCTAGCCATAGCCAGCGGCCGTCGTGACTTTTATATTCCTTGACGCCTGACACCTGCACCCCGGGGCGTCGGCATGGGAGGCACGCACGCACGTCTAAACGCATCTCAGCTTGGACGCGCATCGATTCGTACCTGGTACCTGGACTCGAACTGCCGGTACTCAACAGTCCGACGCCGCAGTGTTGGAAGCCCGAAAGCACTGTGTATGCAGCTTTATTCCATCTTGACTGGCGTATTCAGGACTAGCAGCACACCCGATGATCTCCTTGGAATTTTCACAGGCGACCATGCGTTCGTTTCTACTGGCACGGAAGGGGAATTTCGCCCAGGAATTTTCTAGCACACGAGTTACACGATTCTCAGTCTTGTCTCTTTATGAGGTGAGATGAAAGGTGGAGCGAGACCTAGGTAAGCCTAGGTGCGAACATAGACTGTGCGCACACAGGACAGGAGGACGCAATCAGGAGCTGGAGAGTATGTTCGCCCTCATTCGGGCAGGGATGCTCCACGCCTCCGCGGGAATATATGTGCGGCTACGAGTAGGGGATCCGACTTCGGAGAAGAGAATCGAGCGACGACGCGTGAGGCTTCCTGGGATCCTGAGGATCTTTGATTCGCAGAGGAGGCATCGTGTCAATGCTTCCTCTTTGTCTTTACGTCCATGAGAGAGGCCAGGCCATGACGGTTGAAAGCCTACTTTTTTTTTTTGCGCTGGGGTTAAAAGCCTACTTGATTTCTTCTTTTGGGGTTCTCATTTGGTTTCCAGAGACATCGATGTAAAGCTTCAATAGCGACCAGCAAATTTTCTTCCGTATTTGTTCATGGACAGACAGTGGGATTAGTCTGTGGATACGGATGCGGGAGACAGCCATCGAATGCTGCTCGTATATATTTCAACCCGCATTTAAATTAACCGGACGAAATTCATGCAAACCGTCCGATATCATCAAAGTTTGGATAAAAAATAGCACAACTTATCCATACATAGCATGCAAATTAAGTCTAGGAACACAATGTCTCAAATTCTACTAGATTAACCGGATGTCGAACAAGTTCTTCATCAACGGACCATGTTCTCCTACACATACCCCCTTCAATTTCATCCAACAGTGTGTACGTAAATGACCATTCCTCTGGGTTGTATTTCCGTTCATTTGCAATGGATAGGGGTAAAGCCCGGTTCAAAAAATGACCATCCCTATGTCCTGTGGTACATCACCGCAGCGCGTGCGGGATACATAATGTGTAGACCAATATTAAGTGAACGAATCAATCAATAAGTTGAGCAAAATGAATCAAAACTTGCGATCTCGTCCTCTGTCGCGTGCAATAGCTACCTTGCCTTCAACTGACAAACCATGTTACAAAACTTGGTGACGCTTATATGGATAGCGTACCAGCGATACGATAACGATCTCATATTGCGTTCTTGAATGATGTACATGTCGTAGGGCGCAATATATTTCCGTGCGTGAAACGATTCATGCACTTGCTGTCAGAAGCCCCCCACCCCTCTACTATTACCTACGAAATCCGCGGATACGGGCAACCACACATCGCACAATAACTCATCCTCCATGGTCGAGTAGCTCGCCATCCTTCATACTCTAAAAGAGGACACATCGTTCGAAGATAAGCTCAATGACATTTGAACGAACACTTGCCAAGCGTGTTGTTCGCCATGGAGGTCGTCGATAGGGGGGTGGAGTGTATCTGGGCACAAACAACTTCAGGGTGGATAGTGCCGCCGTAAAGGTGAGCGGGTGCGTCAGTGCTTGTTGCGGATGTCCGACAATGCCTTTGTGGCGGCTGGAGACGTACGGTGGCGGCGGCTGCAGAGGATGCGGATGCAAATCAAGAGGGAGAAGGGGCGTAGTGAAAGAAAATGAGACCGGGAGGGGGATTGGGTGGGCCGGGGGTATCGGAGTCCTATGTGGCTGCTGTCCGGACTACCACAAAACTCCCCATATTTGTCTCCAATTTGCGGGAGGAAACACGTCCGGACCGCCCTGCAAACCGATACAGACTCGCGTTGGATTGTTTTTGCGGTCCGAACAGCATGGTCTGAACGGATGCAGGCGGTTTGAGGATTACCGTTGAAGATGCCTTAAGAACACACACAAACATATTTTCGTTCTTTTTTCTTTCAAAAAGAAGGTTGAAGCCCTCAGCTTGTAAACAATTGATGCACATAACTATCACGAATAAGCACGTACATCACCACACTTATGTACATAGCATATTGGACATATAATTGTGAAGGTTAAGTATTGACAAAGCCACTTCAAATGCCTCCCCGTCCAAAGGGACGTCGTGTCTCCCAAAAAAGCCACGCACACGTGACTTCAAACAATAGGTTTTAATATTAATTCTATGGCAGAGTCAGCTCCCCTTTCTTGAACATCATTTGGCAAATCAAATCCCCCGCCCCCCCAAAAAAAAAAATAAAGATGTTTGCTTGGCTGGCTGTGCAAGAAAAGTGTCTTACGACTGACAACCTTGCAAGGAGAAAATGGCGCCATGACCCGAGCTGCCCCCTCTGCAGAATTGGCCTCGAATCTGCTCACCACCTCTTTGCTAATTGCCCATTCGCAGCTGGTGTTTGGGGTTTCTGCCTAACAAATTTCATTTTCCATTTGATGCCAAGCCAAATGTCAGCGCCCCTTCTTTGCTTGACTGTTGGCTGTTGTCTCTAGAAAAAATTCCTGACCGGAGGAAGTAGGCCTTCTCCTCGCTGGTGATGGCTATTTGGTGGGGCATTTGGAAGGAACGAAATGACCATATCTTTAATCATAAATTTTCTTCGTTTCTGAATATTTGTGATCGAATTGTATTTGAGCTGCGCACTTGGTGGGCTGTCAGCCTCAAGGGTGCACATTGGTTGGGAGATCATGGTTAAGAGAGTTCTGTTTCTGGCAATGTAATTCATTTTTCCTTTTCCTTCCTTTCAACTTGCACAGTAACTCTGTAGCCAGCACTTTTTGCCTTATCTTGAGGCACTCCCCTTCTTAATGAATGAAACCAGCAACCTGCCTGCATTTTGTAAAATAATAATAATTTAACAGGTTATAGTTAGAGAAACTCCAACAATTCCCCTATCCCTAAAATAATCGCTATTTATGGGGGGTTAGGATAAAAAACCCTCTTCAACAGTTCCCGTAAACAGGTGGACTTTAGTTTTAAAGAATCCCATAAAAAAGGTCCTTTCTCCTGCCGATTTACAGGAAGATGCCTGTATGTTCTTAGAGGGAAGATAACCATCATGAAACTTCCATGTGTGGCCCACCGGAACGTCGTCGCCCCACCGTATCCTCGCCCGACCCATGCCGGAACGCCATTGCGCCAGGACGCCGCCGCCTGCGCCAAAACGACACCTCACCGGGATACTGCTACCAGTATAGCCGCATCGCCACCGCCAATGCTGGAATGCCATCGCGTCGGAATGCCACCGCCCGTGTCGCCACGTCCCGCCGATGCCCGCGGCTTGAAGGAAATATGCCCTAGAGGCAATAATAAAGTTGTTATTTATATTTTCTTATATCATGATAAATG